TCTCTCTGTGCAAATGTGCCGCAAGTTAATTTGTTATTCACAAACACTGCTGCTGATAGCCCTGTATCCATTAGGGTGAAATTTTGACCGCCTGCTGAGACTGCATAACAATTGATACGATATGTTACTGCTGCAGACAGGGAGCTTTGTTCTACAATGTCTGATTGGTCGTAAATTGACCTTAGTAAACTTGACTTTGAAAGTGTCTCTTCCAATTCAGCTCATCATCTTTTTGTAGAGACATTTGCTGAAATATTATGTTTGTGTTTGCAATTAAATATCCTCAGCACACCATGCTTTGTGAGTTAGTCCTGAAGACAAAGGAGACAGTGGAGGCAAATGATGTTAAATCCTCTGTGCTATTATCAGCCGCAATCCATTCACAGTAAATTGGCTGTCTGAAAGGTTGCACTGACAGGTGGCCAAGGTTAGCAACATCATGAGTTTTTTTTTTTTTTTACCTGAACAGCTAAAATATTCCTGACTGTGTTATCACCGATGATTTTGAAGCTGCAACCGCTTTTAGATGCAGCACAGGTGTTCGACTGAGTTGTTTTGACAGAAAATTGCATGCATAGAGCTCGGTGGGTGGTTCATGGGAGGCTGGGTGCCTGTCTGTCTTGTTTGTTGTCATCATTTAATCAGCAACTTCAACTCTAAAACGTGTTTTTCCTGTTTAAGCATGTGTTTTATCTTACCCATTATTGCTATGCTTTTAAAATTTTAACAAAGAACTTGCGAAAACTCCTTCTGTCACACCCACAGCAGGGATGTTAGGGTGCAGCATCTCAAAAAATGTGTTACTTTCTAAATCTGACTGGCGATCACACCTGAACTTGAGAACATTGCAGGGTTCGATCTTCTCTGTCTAGCTCTTCCTCCATGCTTTATACATCCAGATCTCTTGATTAACTCAGTATATGTAGCTTCCAGGAGGACTGTATAACTTTGTGCAAGGTGACTGTCATATTTGGACATTTACTGACACTCAAAGCAGCTGTAAACACTTTGCTTTGCTCTAACAAATCCTGACCGGACACGATTTTGTAATAAAGTTCCCATTTTGACATCATAATCCAGAGCATATGATAACACATCAATGTTTAGAAATGAGTATTAATAGGACTTAACTTGGAGTATTGAGAGACTTTTGTGCTTTTTCACCACTTGAAGGATCTGGTCTGCGATATTGATGTGAAAGTGACGAGCTGGACACCCATCCTGTCGGGTATTTTCATATGGAGTTAATGAGCGAACACTGATGGAATTGAGGTAGTTGACCAGTATCTTATGAATCCTTAAAGATGTATGATGCAGGACAGCTTAAAGTAGCGTCTTACATTTGCAATATTGTGGAGGTAGATGTCTGATTGTTTGAAGGCACGGTTCGTATAGAAACTTGGTGTCTGTACGGTGGCTATTATGCAACGGTAATGATCGGTCCTCAGTAAATGGCTCTATTTGTGGATTATTCCTGATGTATTTCACATTTGATTTCTTTTATATTACAACTCCAATTTCACAAGAGTTAGGATGCAGTGTAAAATGATGAAGTGAGAATAATAGTTTGCAATCCTTTTAGCCGTTTTATTGAAGATAGAGCAATGACAACAGAATCTGATACTTGCTGAGATTGACCCTGAAAATCTAAAAAAGTTGTTTAAATTCTCCTCCATTTATTTAGGTGACTCTAAAACAGGTCGGTAAAATGACTGGGGATGAAAAAGACATCCCAGAGAGTCTGAGTCTTACAGAAGTAAAGAAAAAAATCTTTAAGTTTTCACTTATTTTGTTAAAAGATTCAGATAAATTCCTGTACAATTAACCAGCTCTCGGAGCCAGGCGTAACTCTATGGTGGAAATCACCGTATGGACTCACAATAACTTCCAAAACCAGTGTCTGTGACTACAGTACAAATGCACATTAAAACTGTAGTCTGCTAAGAAGAAAGAGAGATTTGGTGGCCTGAGCTCGTCTTAGACGATAAACCCAGTACATCCAGGAGGAAACACCTCGTCCTGACTCATCACTAGAAAAAAGTATGAAAAAGAAGACCCCAAACTGTTAAGCAGCTGAAAGTCTATATAAGGCAAAGGTGGGGTATCATCTCACCTCAAGGCCCCCGGAGACTGGTCTCCTTGACTGGAACTCCTGAAGGTCCACAGTGTTTATAATAGGATGTGATATGACACTGTAGTAAACAGGCACCTCTCTCAACAGCTGGTATTATTTTCATGTTAAACGTTTGATTTGTTTTCTTTGCGCTATTTTCAGGGTTTCAACCAATATAGGGTTCTTGTTCAAGACAGTCTGACTGCAGACCTTCACAGTCAGGACTAGGGATGCACCGATCTGATATTTGGATCGGGTATCGGCTCCAATATTGACAAATAAACTGGATCGGATATCTGATGAATGACTCTGATCCAGCGTTCCGATCCATTTTTTTTCCCTTTAATTAATATCACACACAGCAGCACAGTCATTCTGTTTCCTCTTTATTCTATGTCTGTCTATCCTTTTGCACTAGATGTTTACATGGAAGTCTTACTTCTTTTTGCTGTGTGCTAATGTGCAATTTGATATTTGTTAATAAATAATATCAAGTAAATTTATATCTGTGTTAATTTGTTACCTTTTTTTTTTAACAAGGCAAATGTCAAGCCTGATGCCTTCACTCACAGGACACAGTATACAGTTAATTCATTTGAACAGTAGTATTGGATCAGTATCGGATATCGGTTGATACGCTCAGCCCAGGTATCGGTATCAGATTGGACTTTTCATTGCAGAGCTCCACTATGAGGACTCACTCCACTGAGTAGACCGGAAGTTGATTTGGAGTATTTCAAAATAAAAGCAATTAGACCGAGTAGTATGTATTTTTTGTCTTGTGTGAATTTACTTTATTTCTTAGGGTTTATTTTATGTCTATAATGTTAATAAGGTTTTTTAATGTATTTATGTGTTCAACAAAGAGAAAATAAAAAAACGGATGACTACTTCAAGGGTTATTCTACAGATAAAAAAATACAAACTTAATGTACAGCTACTGTTATGATCGTTTTAAAACATTATTTTATTCTTATTTAAATCTAATCAGCAAAACGAACAGCTGATGGTTTAGTTTGCACTACAAATTCGTTTAAAACAATAAATCTCTGTCTTTAATATGTTTGATGGCATAATGTATCCATAGTCGGACTACTTACTATTCTTTGGCGGGTCCTCACAGTGCAGGTCTGCAACGAGGGGTCCTGACAGTGGAGTTCTGCAGCCAACGCCTCTCCTTTTGTTCACATTTTACAAAGCGTCCACACGTCTTCTGGTGTTGGGGTTGTAATTGGTTAAACCAGCATGAAATATTTAGTTAGTATGATGTTCTGTGGTCCATTTAAAGAGGACTTAGCGTTGATAGTTCATGTATCCGTGAGAGAAATCGTGTTGAGTGCTTTTACGAGGACAACAGTTGAAGTGTAGTTGATGGTTACCCTTTGCAGAGAGATGGATAGTTGTCTTACTCAGACTGCTCTTACTGAACTGCATTTTTCTCAGCCATATTCTTTTAAATACGTGTCAAAAAGCCTGAGATGAAAAGCATTCTGTGAGCTTGACCTTTCCTTAGAATGTGTCATATTTCAGTGCGCTCTCTATTGAAACCCCTGACTAACACACGCTGTACACCGAATGGCATTTCTGCTTCACCTTTGTCGTACCACATACATGCTCTGCCTCCACAAAAGGTTCTTTCAGCGTGGTCAATACTCTCCATTACTCAGCAGTAAGGAGATACAAGCACACAGATGCACATGCTTAGCAAATTGTTTGGACAAGGAGCACTAATAGTCGGCATGAGGGTTAAGGTCATAATGATTACACTTTACAAGCTGGAGGCAATGAAGAAGCAGAACTATAAGCAAACTTGAATTTCCACCACAGGGCAAAGAGTGATATAAGAGTCTAAAAAGGTCATCTTGTGCTGTTGGATGTTGCTCCAGACGGATTGATTGAAAGGTGATAATAAGAAACCCTCTTCGTGTGGTTCACACATAGACCAGACATCCCTGTCCAAGCTTGAGTAATAACTCCCATGTTTGGACAATCCCTGACCTGGTTTTATCCTGTTAAAACACAAAAACAATGATTTGTCTACATTTTTGCGAATCCATGTTGCTGTAAAGGCTGCTGCTCTAACGCGTCGCAGGTCAGTGTTCGGTTCTGATTTGTTGATTAGTGTGTCAATCAAACTTGGCAGGTAGTCGTAGCTAAGAGAACCCAGCTAATCATAGGCTGTCATTGGCCAATTCCGTCCCCAGTGTGGGTTTAAAGTAGAATATTAAATTCCTCTGTAATGCTGTTCTTGCAACGTTACCATGGTGATTGAGCAAAAAGTGCAAAGGCATGTAAAGGACTTGCACGCTCTTGATTTATCTTCGCTGTACTTCCTTTAAATCATTGAACCATAAATGTGCGACCACACCAACCTTTGGCAGTCCTGTCAAACCGTTTCTTAACTGAGCGGACAGGTCAGCTGGTCTGCTCCGCTTTGGCAGCGTTGACTCACTCAACTGACACTCTTGATCCAGGAAAGTACGAGATCTCGAGACTCATGCTATCCTGTCAAAAAAGCCCCAAACCCACAACTGGTTAACATGTCTTAAGGATGTTTTTGCTCAGCTGTCAGTCATTTAAACAACCCAATAATATGTTTGCTTCAGTCTTGGTCCATAGTTTTGTTTCTCTCAGGAGAGCTCCCCCGAATAAAGTCCGTCCTTTGCGGTTGATAAACTGACCACATTGTATAATCCCTCCTGAGAAGTTTAACTGGTTTGTTTCAATAAATAAAGATTTTTTGGCTGTCCAAGGCTTGAGCGGTAAGGGTTTCACGGGGTGGGGGTGAGGGTGGGGGTGAGTACCCTGCTCAGTGAGTGGATGGACTGGTGATAATGATTGTGAGCCCTAAAGATGACCAGGACTGAATATAGAACTTGTAAACATCCAATCAGTCACCTCTTTGTCCCCAAAGTCAGAGAATCATTCAGTGGCTTCTTCTTCACACTATGGCTTCGTTTAGCTCAATTTAAGGTCATACTGTGAAAGCTCAGTTTTCCCATGCATGATAAACCGCTCCTGAACTAGCCCTGTCCGACTCTTCACCATGACTGCTCTTTTTACTCATATGTGCCATCTCTAAACCTTGTTCTAAGAGACTTCTCTCTGAATGGACCACCACACATCCCATGCGGCCGCTTCTGTTCTCGTTTCCCGTGTCACTCAGCTTGCTGTCGTTATGAACTCGATTTCTGATCCCCAAGACGAGGTGGCTGTGATTGCTATTTCCATCTCTGAAGTCAGTACCTCCACGGGGCGCCTGCACAGCCTTGTCTTTCCTGCCCCACTTGGCCAGCCACCTCCATAACGGACACTGAAAGAAGCTGCAGAAGGGCCGTGACTTGCACACAGCCTGGAAACCTCTCTTAGAGTTCTCGTTGTAGTAGCCGTAGATGATAGGGTTGATGCTGGAGTTGGCAAAAGCCAGCCAGTGGGCAAAGGGGAAAATGTAGCTTGTAAGAAGGTCCAGCTGGTCTCTGTCCAAACCTGCGTAGTCTGCCATCATCATTAGAGTCCAGAGCGGTAACCAGGACAGCATGAACAACAAAGCCACAAGGATAAGCATCTTTATCACCCTGATTTTTTTCTGGGATATCATCGGTTGACCACGTCTTCTACCCCCAACCTGGTCTGGGGCGTTGGCCAGCTGGGGTTCCCTGTTCGCAACCACAGAGGTGCACAGTTTGACCCCGATGCTGCCGTACATCAGCGTGATGACGGTGAGGGGCACCAGGTAGATGTGCACAAATAAAACAGCAGTGTAGACCTTCCTCATCTTGGGGTTGGAGAAGTCTTCGTAGCAGGTATAGAGGGGTAACGTGTGGTTGAAGTCATTGCTGTACACCATGTAGTGGAAAGGAACTACCTCCACAGTCAGTGCCACGGCAGCAGGACACATGATCACCACAGCCAGCACCCAGACTAACAAGATGGCGGCCTTGGCGACAGGTACTGTTGGCTTGGGTCGTAGAGGGAAAACTATGCAGCGAAACCTGAAATAGATTGAGTAAAGAGAAGCGTTGTAACCACCTGACACAACAAAAACATTTGTTCAACATCCCTAGAACAACTGAAGACTGACAATTAATCATCATTTGAATTAAAGATTTAGAAAAGATCAAGAAATCAGCTCTCCTCAGTCTAACATTTACCAACCGCTGAGACTGATAAGTGGCATGTGGAGCTACACGGTTAGTCGACATGTCGCCAATCACTTATTGTTGTGGGAAGTAGATGAGAGGAAGTGGTGCAATAAAAGAGACCCAGAAGAGAAGACAGAAAGGTAAAGTCACGACACAGTAATGCTGTTCGACCGAAGAGGAAAGCCAGCCACGAGAAATTCAATGTAGTTTAGTTTCAGTCAAACTGTTTTGTCTACACATGTTTTAAAAGTCCTGTTTCAGTCGTGTTAAAGCCATAGATCAATTCTTCAAGCAACATGGGAATGTACTGTATTGGACATTTTTTTGATCTTTCAGAAAAGAAAATCGATTCACTTGTTGAACAAGGTCAGTTATTGTGTTGCATGAGGTTCACAGTTTTGTATTGAGCTGTGTATTGAGAGATTTCAAAAATGTGAATCTTGACCGATTCTGCCAGTACTACTCAACAATGTTGCATGAAGACCACCTCTTTTACTCTGTGAAGTTACTCTGGAGAATTTTCTTGTCCCTGTTTTGAATAGTTGTAATCGGCATCGTTCGTTTGCATAAGGTAAGCGTATCTGTCGCCCCCCGTGTTGCCAGAGTAACATTTACGACAGACAACAAAAAATCCATGAATTTTGAAATTGATTGCACATAAACAACATAAAATCATGGTTTGCATTATTTTAATCGTTTCAAATACCTAATATAAATCACTGTAAATTTTCTTGATAATAAGCAGTGTTCACTTTCTATCTACCAGAGATATAGCTAGAGATATTAGGTCGCCCTGACCATGTATTTTATTGTGTGTTTTCCTTTTTCTCTTATCCAGGGGTCAGAGTTTGAATTTGTCCAACTATATGACTTTATGAATAAACCTTCAGTCCTCCTGTCAGTTATTTGTTGTATATGAATAGAGATAGAATGTGTCCTCTAGGCAATTACCCAGAACTGAACGCTGTAAAGAGACATTTGCAGCACTTCAGAAAGGACCTCATCTGCTCCTGAAAAGGTCAGTTTTATCTGTGTATTTACAGCTATCGAAGAATGGATTCTTGTGTAGATGGAATCACACTAGATGAAATGTGTGAACACACCGATGGTGTCAGTAAGAGAAATTTATATTCCCATGTGCTGCAGGCAATGGGCTGATAGAGCTGAAGTTTAAACCAAAATCACGTTCCCTGTGTCATTTTCAGGGGCTTTTCTTCTGCAGAGCTACGATAGCTCATTAGTAATCAACCTCTAAGTCTTGGGCGGAGACAGCGCTGCTCTGCACACTCCTCTTCATGCTAGCTTGTAGCCTAACATTTCAGGTGTAGTAGAAGTGGCAGGTAACGAAGGAGCTATTCAACTCTCAAACACTCATGTTTTAAGGGACATGATAAAAGCTAATATCACAATTATCTTTCTTTCGAAGTTTGCAATCTGCTACTGCACACGCTTGTTCCGCGATCGTCCTCTCTATTTCTCAGGGTCTGGCCTGCAGAATGGGGCACTTGGGGTGGAGCATGGACTTGTGCCATATAAAATCCTACTGTCTCTGAATCATAGACTGTTTATTGTATGGATCTCATCTGCCTTCTTGCTAGATAAAGCCCCAGCAAGAACAGCACCCTCTGGTGACGGGCTGCAGTATCGCTCATAAACCCCGCCTCCTCCAGAAAACTTAAAGGAGCTGTTGACAAACTTAATTATTTGTTGTAAGACTGGTTTGTCCTCTTTTTTTTTCTGTGCAGCTCCATTTTTAAAAGTTTAGGGGTTCACGTTTTCTTTGATTGACACCTGATACAGCCTATGGGAGTACGAAAATTGGGTAGATTATCCTGGGGATACGCTATTTAAGCAGAGCGTCATCACAGCGACTCTCCCACCGAATGCTACCGTGCAAATGCCGGTGTCAGGAAAAATTCATATACTGGCGGGAGGCAGAGACACCTTTTCCATACTAAATACAGTCTATGGTCTGAACCTGCTGTTTCTGTTTGGGTCTGCCAGAGGTTCACCGTGATTTGAATGCAAAAATGCAATTTCGCTCTTAGTTTTCCCTTATATGTCATCTAGCAGTAGAAAAATGCCACATGAACAGCTGATGTAGATGTGACTGGACTTCCAAACCTTTAAATAACTAACCTTTCAACAGCGATCGCCACCAGAGTGAATACTGATGCGGAAACAGATACTCCTTGAACAAAGCCGCTCATCTTGCACACTGTGTTGGAGAAGGGCCAGCCTGTTGAAGAAAAAGAAAAGATAAAGAGAGTGTTATATGGCTTTTCAGCATTTTTATGACAGAACTGTTGAACCTTTACAAGACACTTACGAAGAGCTTTTAGTGTCCCTCTGGCTCAAAGCACTTCTACATCACTCCTTACATTCATCTGTTCATATCACGTTGATACAGTAATGGCAGAAGATACTGTAGGGGACAATCCGCTTTGAATAATTTCAACCTAGAGCACAAAAACCATTCACATCTGCAGTCACACATTCAGAATATCAGTGTAATAATTCTACCCTCGAGTCCTGACCATCTGGCTGTTTTTTAAGGCAAATAAAAAACTACCCAGCATGACATCTCGAATCTGAGGATTTGCTCCCCAAGATTACATCAAAACCTGTTCAATAATACTGCACCAAAGCTAATTTTGTGATGTTCCCGCTCTTCACAGTCTAAAAGCTTTTGTATTTGAAGTTCATGTGACAAAAACAAGCTTTTGACACAATGGACTGAGATGCATTCATTCGCCCGTTGTTAATGACGCGCCATGTAGATGAAAGGAAACAGCAGATGCATCGTCCAAGCGGTCTCCTCTATTACATCTCACTGAGTCTCTGCCTCTTTATCAGTTATATCTGAATAAAGCTGTAATGGACATGGTGTGTGCACTTATAGAGAGAAGGGAGTCTTTCTTCTACGTAATGTACATTATATCAGGGAACATTAAGGGTCTGGGCTCCTCCTGCTGTCCCTCCTGCTGACAACCTGATGATTCATCACTAAACAATAACCAGCTCACAAAGGCTGAGCTACTGTCTTGTAAACAGGACCAGTGAGCTCTGAGTCGAGCACCAAACGGGATCTGTTTTCATGTGATGGTGAAGGCATGGCTGGTTCGGATGGAGATGAAGAAGTTAGAAACTACTCTGGTAAACAGACTAAATCCATCCTATATTCACATCCCAGACAGATTGTGACTTTTCTGACTTCCAAGAATGAATGAATCCGTCCCACATTCACAAACAAGAGCCTAGAAAAACATTTCCCTTTTCACTCTGACACAGCGTCATGACAGCGTCAACACAGACGGCTCTTGTTTGTGAGTCAAGTGCGTCTCTTTCTGTCCCTCGTCTGAGTCTTAAAGACACTTTTTCTTAGCCCTGCATGAGCGATAGCTTTATATATCTGGTGTATGCTCCTGTCTTTGATTGACTTGTCGATAATTTCCCTTGACTCTGAATCGCTTGTACTTCTTTGTTTTGTTGTCTGCGTTGTGTGTACCGACGATTACACAGTACATAGAGGGGCACAGACAAACAAGCCTAGAATGGATTTCTCTTGTATGGTGTCAGTCCTGTTGCTTATACCACTCTTTGTCATAACATGTCTTTGTCTGCTTCCAGGACATGATGTCTGATGTTCCTTATAGACATCATTTCTCTTATCACTAATACTTTTCCTGAAGTAGCTGCACATGCATTCAAACTTGTTCCCTCTGCCTTGGCTGAGAAAAACCTGAGAACATCGTGACTCAGTGCTTCTTGGCCACAAGGACTGTACGTAAAGTTGAGGACAGAACTTTCAGGTGGACCTATTGTTACACTGGAAAGCAACACAACAATACAAGGAAATAGAGGAAAGGTTTTCTGCATTCATGCTCTGAAGAACTGAAACATGAACTAGTGCGATATAGTCCAAGTGAAATGAGTCTCCTATCTATCCTAAGGTTCTTAAAGGGGAGTATCATGCATTTTTTTCAGACTCTATATTTCCCTTTTGATAATTCTTACACAGCTTAACGTGATTTTCGGGTTTAAATAAAGGCTCAGATTTCTTGAAGTGATGTATTAAAATATCAGTATTTCAGTTATTTCTGCACGCTTTCCAGAGAGCTGGTCGATCAGCAGATTGGCATTACCCCCATAGACGTCATAAATGTAGGCATATATGTTTATTATATCTATAAGGGGTGTCCCGATACAATGTTATTACTTCTGATGCAATACCAATATTGTTGCCTTCAGTACTGGTTGATACCGATATTAATCCAATATTGGCGCAAACTTGTGCATGGCAAATTTTGCACCCAGCTGCAACATCTTTTTCGGACTTAAATGAAAAATACTGCCACACGGCCAACATCACTACTACTCCTTGCAACTTTGTTAGTACTTTAGTACTCACTAAGGTTGTGATTATGTGGGCTCTGCATGCTGGATCTTGGCGCTGCTAGATAGAGGTGCTGGAGCAGAGTCTGGAATAGACTGCTTGTATCAGAGTGCTGACGTTGGAGATTTTAGATGCAGGCCAATATCCAGTATCAATATCAGATCAGGGTAAGGCTGCAACAATGAATCGATTAAGTCGATTCGTCGTGACGAAAAAATCCGTTGCCAACTAATTCTGTAACCGATTCGTCGGGTCTTTATATATGTCCATGGACACCGGCGTGTAAACATCAGCAGGACGCACAGAAAAGAAACAGCCATGGCCGAGGCAGCGGCTGAGAAAAACATGGACACAACCGATGGTGTGGGAAAACTTTACCAAAACTGAAAAGGAAGGCGTTCAGTGCAACATTTGCAAAGCCCGTTTTGCATGGCACGGGAGTACATCGATGATGCGTGAGCACAGGGCTCTCAAGTCTCACGCATTCAGCGTATGACACGCATTCCCACTCGTTCACACGCTCACACACCACACATTGTATTTCTCACGCATTTAAATGAACACGGTGATGTCCACCAAGTTGCACTTCTTTAACTGTGGAACAGGGGGAAATCAACTGAGTTTCTCCGAGAGTTCAGAAGCTGCGTGCCACACGCAAGCCAATCAAATAAAGTATATCTACTGAACAGCCAGTCAAAAAGCAGCATTGCTGTATCCGGGTAGATTTTGATATCTTGCGGTTTGACTACAGAAGAAGACAGACACTCGCCGAAATAGAGCAGGTTTTTATAAGGACGAGAAAGACCCGATGATTACAGTAAGTCAGTAACCTACACATGCAGAGACCTCAACACCTCATGGCAGATAAACTCACATGATAAACTAAAGCCCTATGCTATTGCTATTAACAGCTGCATTGATTAATTTAGCCTGTTTATCCGATTAATTGATTAGTTATTAAAATAGTCGACAGATTAATCGATTATCAAAATAATCGTTAGTTGCAGCCCTAGATCAGGGCAACCCTAATGTCTATGGTTAACTTAATTGCGAACCCACTCCACTATGTTGGAGTCAGGCCGTTTTGCTTTGCCAGAAGCACATTAGCCAGTAAGGAGAGTCTATAATTGTTATGTCGGACAGTTTACATCTGCTTTATCAGATTATTACAAATTACGTTTACCTTGTGATTTGAAACTTTGCGCACTTGTAGTATGGACACCAAACTTTGTAACTTTTCAGTTTTTGTAGTAAATTTGGAAAAGTGTGATACCCTCCTTTTAAATTTCTCAGATTTGTTCAGTGATATTATGTACTATAGTATGTGAAACTCCAAGACCTTTGCAACATAATCTTGAATTCTTCTCATGCAGTCTCTCACAGAGTGCTGAGTCTCTCCCAGTCTCCACTTAAGAGAGAGATTCAGCCTCTCGGCAATACAAACCCCAATTCCAGTAACACTAGGACATTCCTTTTCGCACTGTATTCAACTGCATATGCTACAAAACCAGGATGTTTAATTTTTCAAACAAGTAGTTGCATAAAACCTTGGCATAATATCTCAAAGTCAAATACTTGGTGATAAACCACAGATGGTGAACTTGAACTTCTCTAAATACCGTGGGCATGAACATTTTGTAATGCGTGGCCATCATTTAGTGGCCTCAAGTGTTTAGTTGCCCTTAAAACACCCACTCTCTTAAACCGCTGCTCAGCCCCCACTCTGTGTCTCGTTAACTGAGATTTGTGAGTGTCATCTCTTTTTATATCACTTTTTCATCAATTCATAATCAGGGTGCTCTTTTAAAACACATCGGCATGTGGAGAACTTGTTAATTAGGTGCTTGGAAATGGTGCCATGATGTACATAAATGATGTGCTAATGATTTCACAGGCATAAGAAACATCTTGTTTAAGCACAGCATCAACTTCACTTAGAAATATGTGGATAGAATTAAACCACAGAGAGAAACACGACTTGTCTGGGACACAGCACTGTTCGATGAATAGAGGCATCTCCCAGAGTTAGGCATCAGGTCGGATGATATAGGACGGTTTGATCTGGAGAAAATATGAACTTCAGAATCAAGAAAAGTGTTCAAGAGCAGCCTTGTCTTCTGAGTAACCGAAACACCATCTCTTGGATTGACTGAATTAGATTAAACCATGTAGAACACGATGATAATGTTTAATAATGGGTAATATATGAAATAAAGTTTATCTATAAGGGAAGTTCACAAGAAAGGCCGCTCAGCTTCAGTTTTTAGGACATATTTAGGTAATTTAAACTCGGATGGAAATACAGAAAAGATGAGAAATCCTGACTAAAATTATTCCCAACACCACACAAAACAAAAAAATAAATAAAAGGACATAAAAGACAAGGACAAAAAAAATGCAGGTGCATGTTTCATTGCTTCCTTGCAGCACTTTACAAAAGCTTATTGGGGTTCTTTACCCCAGATATCTGGTACAGCAGAAATCACCTTTTTATGTAAAGGAAGTTTGGATTTTAAATGTGTCTTGATATTATCTTTTATCTACTGATATTAAAATAAAGTCATCGGGATAACTTTTTTGGCAGTGTCGCCCGGTCCTGATGGCGTAAACATTGTTAATTAAAAAAGAAACTGGATAATCCTTGAACGTGTTTTCTGAGCAAAGATCAGGAAGTGTCACAAAGGTTATCCGCTAATGTAACACACCAAGTTGTGAAATGAAGTCTGTAAAACCCCTGAGGCTTATCTGATTAATAACAGTGCACCAGGCGATCGATAGAGATAGAAGAGCAATGCAGGGTCAAGGGTTGAAATTGACTGAAATGTAAAAGCAGGTTAACATATGAAGAAGAACAGCTGCAGGGTTCAAGTCACATTAAAAGCATGGAAGTTCAATTTCTCATTTAACACCAAGTTTAGAAGGTGAGAGGTCGTTCAAATAACGCAGTGATTGTAACGGCTGAGGGATGGACAGTACCAGTTGTGAGCTGTCAAGTGAAGCACTCAATTAAATAATCTCCACGCTCAAAAAGAAATATAAACAGAGGCCTTTGCACCATTAAGTCATGTATCCCATACTTTTAATTGCATCATATTTTTGCATCATATCACAGGGTGATGCAATTTTACAATAATGATGCTTAGCACAGAACCCAACCCTGTACTCATTGAATCCAACAAGTAGAGACAGAGATGAGCCCCATAGGCTTCTTTTTAGACTAAACCCACAGCATGTCTGACTATTAATACACTGAAGCGTATGTGTAACCAGTATTCATAGCTTGTCATTGACAGGTAGGACATTATGTGCTCAGAGTACAGACTAATCACCATATAAGATGAATCAAAGCGTGGATTGTGGTCATAGCCAGAGAAAATGTCCTAATGAGTCATTTTATTAACAAAGATTGACAGCTTGAACAAATCATCACTGATTAAAGCCTGTGGACGCACTGACAGCATCTGTTCATCATTGAAATCTTGGATGGATTCTCTCATTTCTAACAGTTCATGTGTTCAAACCCCAAAGGAAAGTAGCCTGTGAATGTTTTTCCGCTTGGGTGCATTTGTGTGTGTGTTTCGTGGTGTATTAGAGAGAATATTCATCTGAGGGAGCAGGTAAAGAGCTTAGTGTTGGTCTCAAGGCTCAAGGCTTTCTTTGAGGGATTGTAGAAATGCCAAAACCAGCCTAAGCCACCTGGCACACACTGGCTGTCAATTACAGGGCTGACTGATAATCCATCTTTAATATATGTTGACTGCTTTAGTGAAGCCGGTGGAGTGAAAACAAAGGATTAAAGATAATTGTTTCTATACATACTCGGTTAAACAGTAAGGTTCATGTTTGAGCTGTTCATTTGATGCTTATGTTAGATATGTACAGTGAACGGCATCAACCCTCCTTGAATGTGGAAAATGAGTTCTGATTATTTCTTAATTTGCATTTGTTAACTTCCTTCTGTCTGTGTCGGAAATAAAATGGCTTTAAATTGGTTAGTGCTTTTTCCTAGTGTGCTCCCTGAATTGCCTCGACAGTTTTGCTCATTATCCTTGCATGCATTGAGAGGCAGTGTCTAATTCCGCCTGTATATGGAACATGTTACCATGCAGGTTGTCATTATTGTATGCTGTCATGTTCTGGTTGAAAAGGCCATGGTTCTCCTCCCATTCCGAGGCTGTTTACAGGGTCAGAACAGTGACCCTTAATTGCAAACCCTTTCACCCAGCAACCCTCAGATGAATGAGCGGTAAAGAAAATGAATGGATGGATGTTCCTCAAATGGGCTCTTAAGAGGTCATAGAAAGTCAAGACCCTGAAAGCGCCATCCTAGAGCCACTACACCCACGAAGATCCTCCTATGGCTGGTCACCATGGTGGGTCCATAAATATCCTAACATTGTCCCTCTGTGATCATCATCCATTAAGAAAGGAAGTGGGACAAATTGGACTGAATCATCACAACCAAAGAAATGTCCAAGAATTGCAACTAAGTCAACAGGTTGTCATCTCAAAGGCTTGAAGTAGGACACGTGTTGCTCAGATTTAATGTTTCATTTGAGGATCTTGCACAAGTGGATGGAGGTGGGAAAATGAGCTTTCCTTTACAGACCCAATTTCCTAAACCTTGTTATGGAGGGTTATTTACAAATACTTACACAGGCATGGGATTGCTCTGTGATTATCAGCTGAGCTCAGGGGATAATGTCTACCTCAACATCTATGAACAACCCCGGTCACGAGACCCATTCCTGAATGTTCGCCCAAAAGATTCCACCCTAGTCACTTGGGGCCAATCCCAATTATCACTCTTGCCCCTTCTCCTTTGTCTTACTCCTTTCGCTACCCTTTCTCCTTGACCTTCAAAACAGAGGGGTGAAAAGATGCTCCTAAGAAACGAGACGCAACTCGATTACCGCTACGTCATCGCTACTTGCCGTTCGCTGGCTGTGTCGTGGGCTGATGCGACAAGACCAGTAAACATTATGTTGTAGTAAAGCCTGTTTGCTGTGAATTTGTCACCCAAGTCTGAAATCAATGTAGCAATCATTAGCTATAGCTTCGTAAGCTAGCTCATCATAATGAGAGATTTTAAAACGCAAACAATTCAAAACAGGGCAAATATTTACATGCAGTAGCAAAGGATTGAATATCTGATCAAAACATGAGTGTTATTACTATAAAAATCATACTCCTTACTTTCCACATACATTGTACTCATCCACACAATCAAGCGACAATATTCCCTACCATACATTTTGAACAGCTGTGAATGATACTCCCTACTCCTGTCACATTTGTGTTTTTGCTCTGCTTGCCTTTTTGCTGGTGAATTGGGATAACCCTTCGCTTGTCAAAGGGATTGGCCCTTATTCCCACTGACCAGGACTCACTATTAACACTGCGTGATCATCCATGATGTCAGAGGCAGATATGTTTCGGTGCATTGATCATTGATCCAGAAGTTATCCTCCAAGAGCTTACCAGGATGCTAAGATGCCAGAATGCTGGTTGGTGAAATGTGCCAGCGTGTAACCAGACCATACAGGACTCTGCCGGACTAGAGATACAGCAATCAGCCCCTCACATCTCGTCAATCAAGACATACCAGTATACCATTCCTATAACCCGCCAGTCTCTAGTAAGTAGGTTTCTTAAATCATCAGACCTGTACCACCCACCTACACTGGCATTAAGATTTTCCTTCTCGCCATGTGCCGAGCAGGGTTTCAGGAGCTGCCTCAGGCTTTTACCAGCTGTTGGGACTCAAATCTTTCTGCATTTTAATGACACAATGATTTCAGCTTCAAATCACAGCCATATTGTAGAGAGAGAAATTGAATGCAATCACACTAAAGTGCTCTGATTGTTGTGTTTTTCCAGCTACTCTGGGGGAAAAAAAAGTCTATCCATCAGTTGAAATTAAACTAATGTTGGGTTTTCAGGAAATCTGCAGGTACAGAGAATAACTACTTCACTTACTGACTCTCCGTTCTTTTTCACAATGATTTGATTGTGTAAGCACAGGGTTGGATAGAGCAGCAGCTATGGCAGGGATAATCAAGGGCTTGTCCAAGAACTTAACGTGGTTTGTACCATGCCTTGCACATATGCCGTAATTGGTGGAATTCAAAGATAATTAATTACAGAGTCAAGCAAAACACAAGGTGCTAAAGGGCATGTGGCTCTCTCATGAAGGGGGGCAAGCTTTTCAGACCGTAATCCAACAAAGGACAATGAACCACAGCAATTTGTATGAGGAAAAAGCCGAGTCGAGCATCCCTTTACTGGTGGATAACAAGACCTGTAAACATTTCATGTACTATTGGTTACAAGAGAAGCCGAACCTGCTTGTCGAGGATGAGGTAGTAATATCACTTCATGCAGCAGCCTATAGGGGCCTTATGCATCAAGTCACAAAGAGAAGATATAATCTAAAGGAGCTGTGCATTGAAGTCATTACTACTTGAGGAAGTTTCATACACCCTGAACATCTCTGTTGTTGTTTTCTTTTGGTTTAATGTGAACTGTGACCTGCTGTAACAATCTCAAAACATAGGTGCAAAATCCAACCTCATTTTCTGGTGAAATGGTGCAAAATCTCGGTGCAAAGAGGCTAAAGAGAGGGTCTTTTTGGCGTAATGTGAGTCAAACCACTCCTTGACAGACTGGTGACCTGTCCTACATCTCGCCCTATAACAAATGGGATAGACTTCAGCCCTTCTGCGACCAAAGAAAGGAAACAAATAATAATAACGGATGAATGAATCAAACCATTAAGTGTTTCCGCCTAAGTGTCCTTTACAAGCCTTTATGTTTTCCATTTTGCTATGGTGAATATAATGCCACAAAGGCCACTAAAGAGGACAAACACACTGCGGCGTAACGAATGCTCAACACTATCCTGGTTTCTGAACTCCTCTCATGTTGGTTCAGCTGCTCACCGGTTGACACCACTGTGTGTCTGATATTGCCTCCTGTGGCTCCAAATTGGTTCATTTCTTTGTAGCGCTCATTGGACTCGATGATTACCTGCACCTGTGTCGATGGTGTAAAATGGAAATTGCAATTTTCTACACAGACAGGACTGAGAACCAAAATGTGGAAACATGGGGGGCATGTTAGCTCTTCTAAATCTCAGCTCTTTTGTTGGGAGTTAAAAGTCTGGCAGCAACATTTTGAATTAATTGCAGTCTTGGGATGTTGCGCTTTTTAAATCAGAATAAAGTGTCTCCAGACTACATGAGAAGGGAGTCAAGAAAAACTAATTTCAGAGGCCTAATTGCCTCATTTGGGTCTTTTTTTCCTCCTACTTTGCCAGAGAAAATCACAAGTTGACAGGCCCCTAGGAGTGTGAACGCTGAGTACTGTGTATGCCTTACACAGGGTTTGGTAGACTGGTGAATTTTTCTACTTCTTCCAGTTTGACTTTCAGGTACTTGTACACACGTTTCTGGACTTAATTTAACTTTATAAACTGCACTTTTACTCAATTACAGTTCCCACTCTAAATCAAACCTGTCATTATAATTTAACACATTTCCCTGAAGAATCGACAGTATCTTTCTCTAAATTGGACTTTGAGGGAGAAATATAGAGGCCTTTTGTTTTGGATTATTTGGTAATTCAACATTGTGAGTGCAAACTGCTATAAAAGCTGATTTTTATCAAGTATGATATCTTTACTTGTTCTGTAGTGTGGCTCTCAGGTACATCACCCGCACATCGGGAGAACATGAACTCTATTTCATCCAAGATAATTCCTTCAGTTCATCGGCTACTTTTGGTTTGTTGCTTTTTGTTAAAGCTCTGACCTCTGCAACGTGGATAAGACAGGCAGTTATTTATTATTTTTGCACTTTGATAATAATAATAATGCATCAGATTTCATATAGCGCTTTATCAGAGACCCTCAAAGCGCTTTACACTCGATACATCATTCGCTCACGCAGTCACACTTTTGGTGGTGGTAAACTTCCTTAGTAGTCACAGCTGCCCTTTGCGCCTACGGCCTCTCCGACCACTACCACACAACACTCACAATCATACACCAGTGGAGGACACACACTGGGAGCAAGGTGGGTTAAGTGTCTTGCCCAAGGACACAACGGACAGATTTGGGATAGGGGGGAATCGAAGCGCCAACCTTCCAGTTATTGGACGACTGCTCTACCTCCTGAGCTACTGCCCCCACTTTAAAGTTGCAGATAGCAATTTGTGAGCATAATTCTTCTAAAATATCAAACTGGCTCAGCCTATTTGTCGCTTTGGAGCCTGAAAACCGCTGGCTTGATGTTTTGATTAGTTTATATTTCCTATTTTCAAGGATAAACCTTGATCTGGCATCTGCCTCAAGCTGAATAGATTTAAAGTGGAGCAATTCGATGTCTGATTTGTGTGTTGGAAAGCAAGGCTGTCTAAGAGTTGGGAGAAATAGAAAACTTTGTATTATCTATTCAAATGTAGTTTTATCTCACTCTGAGGTCATATGTCACTGCTTATGCAACCTCATGAATAAAATATGAAGACTGCAAAGACTGTGACATTTTAAAATCTGCTGTTTGTGTTTTTCTCCCTGACATGAAGATAGTTCACATAGAAAAAAACCTGCAAACAAGGCTGAGTCATTTACTGTACATAAGCACACGCGCCGAGCAACGGTTTGATAAATGAGAAGCCTCTGCTCCTGCCGTCGCTCTGTTGTTGTGAATAACATGATGTTAACAAGGGATGTCGCTCAAGTAGACAGCTATGCACTAATGAAGCTTAACAACCTCCCTGTTGTTTTTAACCCTCTGCACAGAAGTGAAAAGGGCGTATTGCAACTGCAGTGGAGCGTGTAATCATGGAACTGTGTAGGAAAATACTGAACTAAAGGCAATCAGTGGGTGTCTACCCAGCAATTTGTCAGCACACAAGGTGAGGTGTGGAAGGTACAGAGGCCGGATTACACAGAGGTGCGTTTCTAGATGAATTCCATCGGTGGATCTTTTTTCAACACGCCGGATGCAAGTGTGTTACTGTTGTAGCGGATGTCAGCCTAATGAGATATATGCACCAAGCTCAGACTGACGATTTAACTTCTCCTTTCTTATTCACCCTCTAACAACTTCAGGAAAAAAATAACAGGATACGCATGGATTGCTGTGATACCCTTTGAGTGCTCTGCACAGTTGAGTTAATCAGACACACAAGACACAGAAGTGTAACTTCATAACTGTGAAATACGCCACAGTACTAGATAGGCAGACTGCATTGAATAAAAACTAAGATTTTGTGTGCTCAGTAAAAAAAAAAACAGGTAGGCTGTTAATCTTTTTATACGTGTATTTTAGCTGCTCAATCACATGGCTGTATTTTTTCCTATGTTCGCAGTGGAAGCTGGCACTCATTTATATGTTTGGAGAGAATTACTTCAAAGTTGTCTTTAAGCGTGTGAGTGCGTGTGTTTGGATGATCTCCAACATTTCAAAATAAGGACATCTATGATCTTGTCCAACTATCTGCAGATCCAAGTACCCCATTGCACTTTCCTGAAGGTACATTGTAGGTCAACTATGTTTGTCTCCTTCCCTCGAATATGCAGAGCTACTTGTAACGATCAGTCGTTGAAATTTGTGGTCTTCTTTATAATATTTGACTCTAGTATAGTCATAAGCATATCGAATTGATACTTTCAAATCTGGGATTTTTCATGCAGCAACTTTATGCAAAAAATTAATGCATTAGGCTCAATGTTTAGAGTTTCTGCATGTGAGGCTTATTTAAATCAGATTGTGGACTCAAAAAACATCGACCTAGCATGTACCACTTTCCTCATCCCCAGAGTAGTGACGCCTTACCCCCAATTTCCATCGCATCTGGAACGGCTATGAAAAGGCCGTATCAACCGATCATAGCTGATCGTAACCATTCAAGTTAATTTGTAAAATTCCATCGGCTCCTCTCCGTTCCGCTGTGGATCGCCGGACTCCGCAGCTGATCGCAAGAGTTCTAGTTTTTCCGAATGCTGCAGTATGCCGCATAAATTCAGCACAGATTAACCCGTGCTGGAAAGGAAGTCGGGCACAGACACAAAATAAAACATCCGGCTTTTCAAAATAGAACCACGTGTTTCAGGCGGTTCGTATTTCACATCATGCAAACGTGGGGACAGGGACGAACAAGTGAAAGGTTTTTAGACAGCATTTCACCCCGGTGACACCGTGGATGAGGAGATGCTGATTCACGAAGTCTAGAAGTGGATTTCCTCCTCTGGAAGGACACAATCTACTGCTTATATGGCTGTCTTTATAGAGACAACTCATTATTGCGCGATTGCACGTGAATCCACAACTTGTTATCGTGGAAACAGGTATCTGCGGGTTCTTGTGAGTTTTCGTGATTCCTACTGTCCGTAATCTGCCATGAAATTCGCCTCACAAACGGATCCAGTAGGAATTGGTGGACAGCGAAAATCGTTCCGGATGCGGTGGAAATGGTGGGTCAGTCAGCACCTTATTTTGAAACCATCCACAACCACAGCTAAAACAGGCCTGACCATGCGCGTTGTAGCATGATGACTTGAAATTACATGTTAGTTAAAATAAACTATGATGAAAACTCTAATGCACCCACCTGTGATCAGGTTGTCCACCAGTGTCGTAGGGATGCAGAAGAGTCCCACCAGAAGGTCGCTGATAGCCAGGTTGAGGATGAAGAGGTTGGTGACTGAGCGCATGCGACTGTTTCCCAGTACGATCAGACACACCAGGATATTACCCACCATGCACAGCAGGAAGATGAAGAAGTAGGCCAGGATATACGTGGCAGCCACGTACAAAGAGTACTGGTAGTACGGGAAAAAGGTCAAGTTGGTGGTGACATTTGTGACGCTGTCAAAGCTGGTGTTCATGAAGGCTGGTGTGGTGGTTGATTCTTCCATCTCCATGTTCTCCAGTATCTCCATCTTTGCAGGACAAACTAGACGAGCAAAAAAAAGAGGAACATCAAAATTAACACCTGATTTCTTGACATTGCAACAACATCAGATTTATTTTATAGATCATGTCTTGTTCAAAAATTTGGTGTTTCTGGAACTGACAGTGTATCTCCATATCACCCAGCCAATGACAGGCCTGTAAATTCTTAGATTTCCTCAAGTGCAAAATGGAAACTTGTGAAACTCGGAGAGATAATCTGCAGATAAAGTGAGTAATTGATTGTACACGGAGGTAAAAATAGAAGCTGTAAAAGATTAATTCATCACATTATACTCATAAAATGTGGCACTGATGCTGCGAGTAAGTAATTACCCATATAGGTTCCATAGCATCTCTTGCTCTTTATATGAGCTGTGAACCCGCAAAGTAATGAAGAGTTTGCATCTGAGAAGCTTGAAAGAAACGTTTTATGCTTATAAAGCAGCTGTTTAATTTTGGGTATATAAGAAACCATACATCAGTGAGTTCATATATAAGGGAGGGCTTGGTGGGGGTTTATTTATCGGAGTTATTTGCCTGTGCAGAGCTCCAGCAGAGGCGAAGAAAGAGTTTGGTGGAAGCGTGACCTCTTTTAATCACATTAACAACTCAGTTTAACAGTGTACGCAGTAAGATGTGGATGTGAAGCTGTTATTGGCACATTTAATTTTCGGAATAATGCCTTCTTTAAATAGAAAGAAATCCATATGCTTTCATCTTTTACTCATGCATAATAATTATCTATCCACACGACTATGCTGCTACAGTTAAATACGTTTGTATGCGTACAGAGCATCTTCTGTAATATGTGATAAAGTGAGTGGCAAGTTAGAAAATGATTTAGCATGATTCATTTATTAAACCCCGTATTGTGTTTTAATAATTAAGAGAATGAAGGCTTTAACTCGCCGAAAGAGTACATTTTTGACTAGATAGCGCCTCCTAAGCCAAAATAGCAGCAAATAGTTGTCTAGCCATCAACCACAGACAGCATACGTGCTCTTAAGAGAGAAGATGAGAACTTTATTCATCCCAGAAGGAAAATTCAGTATTGAATTTTTATATTTTATTCATATTTATATTGAATAAAAATTTGGAGGGAAAAACATGGCGGACAGTACGAAAAGTGGGCAGAAATGATCTAAAGCATGGCTTCATTTTACTAAGAGAGACAACTACAGTGTGACATGCAGCGTTTGTCGAGCAGTGATAACACTCAAAAGTGGAAACACCAGCAACATGCTTTAACCTATAGAAAAACCTATAGTGAAAACCTATAGTCTACTTTTTTAAGTGAAAGAAAGGCACTGATAAGGGAATCACTAAAGAATTGAATCGATGAGCAGAATCGATAATGGCATCGGTATCGATAAAATTTTGCCAATTCCCATCCCTAGTCATTCATGCTTTTATCTCTTCCTATTTGGACGACTACAAGTCTTTGTAAACATGTCTGAAACAACAAAGTTTGCACAAGTTATTGCTCATCTAAAACTCAGCAGCTCGCCTCCTAACTAGGACCAAAAAGCAAGATCACATGACTCCTGTTGGTCCATGGTTTTTGGTGGTCTTTTTGTTTGACATTATTTCCTTTTTGATTCTGCCATTAATCTATTAATCTGTTTTTATATCTCTTTAGTTGTTAATTCACCGCATTGTTGCTGAACTTTTAGACTCCTAGTCATTGTATTCCTCATATTTCTGTTTCATGTGTCTACTCTCTTTCTATTTTGTTCAAATTTGTAAAGCACTTTGTAACCCGATTTTGAAAATTGCTGTATAAATTAAGTTTGTTTTTATTATTATAGATGCAGTAGCTTATTGTATTGCAAAAGACATGCTACCGATAAGCACTGTTAAATTTCATTTTTTTATATCATGATATATCGATATCAACTGATATGAAAAAAATCTATAGCCCTACGTGCAAATCATGACAAAGATAGAAATTAAGTAAGATGGTTCACTCGCAAGCTTTGTATGCTTTGTCTGCTGCTCTGTTTTTGTTGCCATGTGCTGGATTCACATATACTGGTGGGGTTGGGGCCACTCAAAGGTTTCTTGGGGGCCTCTAATGGAATATCCTGGTTCCATGTCGCTCACCAAACTAATGGTTAACAGACTGTACTGCTTTTCAATGGCTTGATTACACTCTCTCAAGCACTTGAATTCACTTAAAAAACAAAAAAAGCAGCAGCTCCAGGATTGTTCGGTTAAGAGGGTTGGCTGCACTGACAAACAGAACAACCCTCACCTCATATTGTTTCTGTAAACACAGAAAATCAAAAGGTGAAAATAAGAGATTCAGGGGCAACCTTTAACAGGGGACCAACTCCTGGACAGGAAACTCGATTAAAGGATATTGTTTCCATTTCAGGTGGTGTTGACCTAACGCCACACCTTGTTTGTTGTGGGTTAGACGCTGTTGCTGCTAATCTTGTTTTTTTCCAGTTTAAAGTACATTCCCTAGCCGTCCCTGTTTTGTCTGCGACCTTTTGCCGAACCCATGTCGATGCTCGGGATCAGCTAAACTGTTGACAGTGCTCTCATGGTGCTCATGTGGGAATTGTCAGGAAAATGCCAGCACCTCACTCATCCTGGAACAGAGCCAGACTGCCCCTGAGCAAAATATAAGCCCCTTAATACTCACAAGACTCATGCGATGCAAATACACAAAGCTGGATTTTATCTGCATTTGTTCTCTGTTTGGTGAATCAATCCTTTTATTCAGCCTGTTAAAATTCAGTAAATAACCGCAGGATACTGGACTTCTATAACAAAGACATCTGTCAGAGAAACAAACATTACCTGTCGACGGTTAGCTCAAGACCAGCTTCAAATCCTTTATTATAATCATGTTTTTCCTGCTCAGATTATTTGTTTGATCTAATTTTCCTTTTAACCACCTGCTGTTCCCTGTATACAGTGCAGGTGGGGAACTCAGTGGATCCAGAGAAAGTTATTTATAAATGTGGTGTGTCTTTTCACTTGAGAGGATGCAGGCTGTTCAGATTGAAGGAGTTCCTCTTGTAATGCATAATGCACATAGACTGTATATAAGATATATATACAGTCTATGATAATGCATGACAAAAATAGGAGGTTCTCACAGGAAAAGGATGATTTTAAGCCTCCTTTGCCAGCTATGAAACTGAAATGAGAATAGAAACCAGTGAGTGACCAGCACAAGCAAACCAAGTAGGAGAGGTTAGACTGTCAGTGAACTCCAAATATTCATAATCCTCATTGGCTTCATTACTGCTCATATTTTGCTGACCGTATGTTTTCCTCCTTTCAGAAAACAAGATCTTCCTCTCTAGCACGGTCTTAATATTCAGTTTTCACTCAGGATAATAATTAGTGTTTTAATATCAACTATTTCTGTTCAAATTTATGATTTATCCACATCTCCAGCCCTGAGAGTGAAACTTTTTTTTTTCTTTTAGAGATGTTGCCTCAAAGACTGTCATTGTCTGTCATGCTTTTATTTTGAAGTATATTGTTTCTGATAGAAAATAAGTTACAGAACTGAACAAAAAGAAAGAAAGAATAGAAAGAACATGTATCTAACCTTTGTCATTTTGTTCTAGACCTAGACTTTCTTGCTATAGTGGAAATTTCTCTCAGACAGATAAAATCGAATGTGTGTATTGATGTCTGGATGCCTGTGGTGCCATGGACCTTGACTCAGTGACTTTTATTACTTTGGATTTTTCTGCTCTAGCTTTAGTCATAAAAAAGGCATTTGGCTGGTATCCAGGCCATTTAAATTCCACTTTCAGTTTCTATATTCCTCACCAAGAATTTCCACAACAATTTTAACATGTGGAATGAAACGCTCTGTTTCGCTCTGAAAGAAAACTAATTGTGTGATCAGTTTTCTTGGGTTACATACAGTATGTTCCTTTATGACATGCTTTAAGTCCCTGAAAAATTTAAAGGGATATTCCGGTTTAAAATTAATTTAGGGTCAAACACGACGTAGCACCAAGTTAGACACAAGTTAGAGAGATGAATGTTGCCGACCGCTTGTTTCTCTAGTTATACCAACTTTAGTGACGACCGCACGATAGCAATACACAGAGGTCTGAGGAGCCATACACAAACAAGCAAAACACCACTCTATAGCCACAAATAATGTTCAGAACAGCACCTAGCTTCATCAACAGTACATATAGGGTCCCAGCCATAGTACTAGCCACCAAACATCTTTTTAACTTTGCCTAATTTCTTTAGCAAAGAGAATAAACACAATTCAACTACTCTCTTCCAGCAGCCGCTTGTTTGTAGTGAGACCTCAGGCCAGTACATTACGGACTGCTGCGGGGTGACGCAGCTCAAGGAAGAACATTTATGATCATTCCTTTATCATTTCTACAAAGTAATGATAATCATCATGTTAATCATTTTGCACTGCAGACGTTGTAGTTCTTCTGCTTTAGCGTCCTGGTCTGATTGCATTTCCATGAAGAAATGATCATAAATCATTTTGATCTGCTTCTCTGGAAATCCTTCACTTCTCAACATAATTTAAATAAGACATAGGCACAATTATTACAACTGTTCATGCGACTGCAAAACCCCCGCAGAAGAAATGTATGGTGGTTGCTGACTGCTTTGTTCCGCTGACATAGTCGTTCATGACTGTTTTAGATAGACGGCCCTAGAAAGAGTCAAAGGTTGAGACAGGAAGAAAGGGGGAAAAAAAATCAATTCAACCAAAGAAATTTATGAAGCTAGGCACCATATCTACCAAGAAACATCAGACAAAGTTCATGTGACTGAAGCTGCTGCTGCTGTGTGTCAGGTATGACAGCTTTATGACTGAATGAAATAAATGACTCCTCTCCCTAATTTCTTTCCTACATAACCTGTAGGGATGGGCGATAAATTATTGTTCACGATTTATCGTCAGAAAATTCCTCCATGATAAATATTTGCAATCTCACGATAAATGCGATAAATGCAAGTTGATGACGTAAGCATGAGTGAGGGACTCACAGCCGTAGCCCACACAGATCAGACTACCAAACAAACATGGCCGAAGGTAATGAAGAAGACGTTTCTGAGCAGCTTGTTAGTGGACGAGGCTCCACATGAGGGATTTCCTTTAAGACTGGGGTTTAGATGAATGCAGTCAGGTAAGCCTGACATTGGACAGTGGATCTGCTGCTGTTCACTCTGTGTCAACAAATGTTGAAAATGTTTTCACATTTGAGAACCTACCACTCAAACTTGTGGTTAAGTATCTTATTTGACTACTCCAACTGGTGTTCTCAAGACAGAATGAGTCAAAAATATAGATTACATTTATCGGGACTTTTATCGTCATCATCAGAATGGCAAATCTTACCATGATGAATTTTTTAGCCCATATCGCCCAGCCCTAATAACCAGTAAATTCTCATAACACTGACAAAACATCAGCATAAACAAGAACTCCCGTCTAATGTCACGGTTAATAATGTTTATTATACCAGCTCACAGACTGAGAAATAATTCACTTCTGCCTACTCTGTTGCATATTCTTAAATTGAAATAACACAACAACAGAGCTGAGATTTGAAGCGACATAGCCGCAAATTTGAAGTAACAGTATGGTTGTGTTTCTCTATATCTCATCAGCTATTTAAAATGTCACTGTAAGATCTGCTCAACATAAGTAAATTAATCAGTAAGGAAAAAAAGAGTCCTCTTCTATCACAGGGGGTTGGATGTGTAGACAATAGACTAATCTTCAAATTAGCTCAATGAGGTGGCTGTCTGCATCAGCCTCTAAAGGCTGCCTGTTACGATAATTGCTTCAAACAAACAGGTATAATCACAGCCCTAATTCAAAAAACTGTCGGACAAAAAAAAACAAAACAACAACTGCAGCCTGTTTTAAAAGAGGGGATATGTAATGCTGAAAATACCATTTGCAACTGTTTGTAGCCATGACTCTGAGGTCACTTTCTGCGACCCCACTGATTCCACAAATGCAAAGAGATTAGGACCTTATATTATTGAGGGTGAAAAGGTCCACATAGATCAGCACTTATTCGAGGTTTTCTGCCTGGTCTTGTTAGAGTCTGTGATACTTCCTCTCCTATTTATCAGTCCTCACACACAATAGTACTAATTATTAACTTTCTGTGCCGGCTCATCTTTTTTACATGATAGCCTACAATTTTTCTGTCTCTCACCTCCTCTGCTTTGTCTTTGTTTGTTTTCTACTGGGCTTTTTTTCTGCACATTGATTCAATGAGATTGAGCCCTCCAGAGTCTGTGATTAGAGCAAAATTCTAGGAAATCATTCACTCTTAGGGACATCCTATATACCGGTAATATGTCCAGATTGTTCTTAAAGTCTCCTCTACAGTGGATTTGAATGAAAGGGCTGACCTTTTATGAGCAAACAGATATAATTTCTAAGAATGCATGCAATGCACAGAAAGGTTATTTCCTCTGCAGTCCACCTTCAGGCATGATGCTGAGGATGACTAATTTCAGCTTTCCCTCAGAGGGTTAGAAATATCAAAGCCAAGCAAGACATCAAGTAGTAATAGTTGCATTATACCGGTGAGGTAAAGGTTAATGGACTATTGATAATTGTAAGAGGATCAGTGGATTTTAATGGGAAATGTTGCAATCTAAGAACAAATGTTCTGTTTCTCTTTGGATTGATTGAAATAAAATCTATTTGCTAGTGCACAATTAACACAATCTTTGTCCCTTCAAAGTCTTGCATCATTTTATCTCTTAGTATATTCTAAAATCAGATGTTAAGATTTCTTTTTGTTGGTTAACAACATTTCTCACAGTTTCAACCCTAATGTTTGCAAAGAAGCCCACAACCCAGGGAGTCATTTCTGACCCCAAACTTTCCTTAAAACACATGTGACCAGAGAGATTTAAACCTAAATCTGCTCTGTGCGATATTATTGAACTTTAGGAACACCACAAGTTAAAAAAAGAGCCAATCACACGGACAAAATACAAATATTCTGGTGCTCAGTCGGGTCTGTGGGGTGCTCAGTAACCTTAAAATCAAGATGTGCCTTTTTTAAACCAGAGATGTGAGTATAGTGTGACTACATATGTCCTTGAATTGAAATGCTTTATGTTTGTACGATTCAGATGTGCCTGGCAAGTTTGTTGAGGGCTCTTAATTCGATGTTTAGTCCTCTTAAAAATACTCAGCGCTATTTGAATTCTTTGGGTTCATCAGCTCTTTGAAAGTTCATCTTAAAAACAGACCATCTCCATCCACTGAAAGCCACCAATGCTTTGGCGCTGACATGTGTTGTTAGGGAACTGAACAGTGATTAAAAAAGCTGGAAACTCTGATGTGCAGTTCAGTTGATGTGCTTCACTTCTTTCCTTAAATTGATCGGAAGAATCGTTCATCTCTGGGCAGAATCGGATGTGGGAGTCCCTCATTGTCTTAACCCTCACATACTGTACAGGTCAAATTTGACCCGTTTTGACTTTTAACAGCAGTAAAAAATACCCTAAACATCATTTTTTAAGCCTGAAACTTGATGACTTTTCCTGAAGTTGCCCAAAATACATGAAATTAATTTTAAAATATTCATGTGTATTTTTGTTTATGTGCTACAAATTTTTCCCCTCTAAGGCTGTTACGGGTCAAATTTGACCCGTATCTATATTTAGATGGATTTTTTAAAATTCAAATCATTATGAAACTATCATTACCTTGACAGAAACACACACATACACGCACGCACACAGACATACAGTCACACAGACACACCGAGACAAAATGACCTAACTAGTCAAGAGAACTTTCTGTGACAGAAAGCTGCTCTTTGAACTCTTTGAAGGGGCAATTTTGACCCGGAACATACTGTGAGGGTACAGGATTTGAACAGTATGTGAGGATTAAGTGAAAGCAGGTTTAGGAAGGTGATATAACCCCTTGAGCTCCAGTGGAGTGTGGTGACTCACCATCTCTTTCTTATGTGTCCATTAAAGCATTCCTACCTTGTATAAAGAATATCTGGTTTCTGGTTTAGATCGGGCTGTAGAGACTGGGCCTTTCATGTTTCTGTTTTAGCTTCAAGCATCCTCGGCAGTCTTGGTTACTTGAGAGTTTTCTGAGTTGGGTTTGGTTCAGGTACTCAGCAGCAGCGGTTTTGTTTCTTGCTTATCTTTCCGTGTTTAGGAAGTCTGTAAATCCAGACTGTTATTTCCCCCTCTCCATTAAAGGGTTATTCCAGCGTAGAATTAGTCAAGGGTCAAACACCGAGTTAGACACCCCCTCCAGAGATTAATGTTGTCGACCGCTTGCTTCTCTAGTTATACCAACTTTAGAAATGACCGCACGATAGCAATACACTACAGTCTGAGGAGCCATAGACAAACCTCAACCAAAACACCACTCTATAGCCACAAATAATGCTCAGAACAGCACCTAACTTCATCAACAGTACATATAGGGTCCTAACCATAGAACTAGCCACCAAACATCGTTTTAACTTTACCTAATTTCTTTAGCAAAGAGACTAAACACAACTCACCTACTCTCTTCCAGCAGCCGCTTGTTTGTAGCGAGACCTTGGACTAGTCCATTACGGACTGCAGTGGGGTGACGCAGCTCAAGGAAGAACATTTATGATCATTTCTTCATGGAAATGCAATCAGACTGAGACGCTAAGGCAGAAGAACTACCTACTTTAAGGTAATGATATAGTAATGATATATAAAGATATAATATCCCTCTAACTGCGTGCAATTTGAGTGGTTATCCCTGCAGGGTAACTTTTTCAACCCCTGCCCTCTCTTGGTCTGCAGTTGTGTCCAATCCCCCTCCTTCTGGCAGGAAACTGTAACCCATCATCTGCAAGGTAACATCAGGGGAAACATGATATTTAGACATGTTGTTTTTCACAGTAACAATGCTCGCCAACCCTCCAAAAGATTATTCTAAAAGATCATAATGTTTTTTTGTTTTTTGTTTTTTTAATGAGAAAACAATCTCAAAACTCACTGAAATTAGGTTGCATAATTTGCTGCAAATTACCGGTAAAGAGCCATTAAGAAGAAAACACATGCTCTCTGCAACATAATAGTTAAAAACATAAAAGCAGCAGGTCTTTCATTAATGCCTGTGAAAATGACAGTTAATGAAGCAACGCTGAATAAAGGACTAAGCAGGAACATCTCCAAGAGTGATTGCAGTGATTTTAGCGAAACAATGATAATACAAAAAGTAGGTCTCATTTAGGAAACAAGAGCAAACGAAATTGTGTGTAGACTGTGAGAGGGACAAAATTCATCAACGTTTTAGCAGTTCAGATTTGTTCAAAATCTCCACCTGCCTCTGACCAGGAGTAGAGTTTGTTCGAGGAAAGATCAAGGAGAAATCAGTATTTCAATTCATGCTGTGATCTATGTTTACATAAAATTTACATGTCAAACAAATCAATATATTACACATTTAGCTGTGTTGTTTCACAATAGGCAGATCTAAGATGAGATGAGGTGAAGAATATGAAACAGGTTGTGTGTTCTTACATGTTTATGTAGCCTGCAGGAGCCGTATGCAGATTTGTGGACATGCAGTCACAACCAGCATAGATTTTAATCCATAATTGTGGATTTACATGTCATTATTTTCTCTTTGCTTTGGCACCTCAGGGGTCTGTACGATGGTTTTAAAAGTTTGACAGCTTGGAGGGAATCAGACTTACACAAAATAACTGCAGGCAAAAATTAAAGTGCAACACGGATGCTTTAAATCCGAGCTAACCACAGGGTTGCTGGGTGAATGATGCAGCGATCACTGTGGTGTTCGCTGCGGCAGCCGCGGTATATCTGATTGACAGGTTACTGCTTGTCCCTTGGGAACGTGAACGAAGAAGCCAGGTAGAGGGCATGCATTGACTGAGATAAGCTGCTCATAAATCATTTTAAAGTAAGTTTAAAACACAATAAACCGTGACACCGCCACAATCCTAAAAATCACTGCAATCTAATTTTTTTGGCATACCGTCCAGCACTAGATGAAGGGTTTCCTTCAGTGTGTTTCTCAGTAGAAGTAGAAAGCAGACCAGACAGACGTTGCCTTAAAATAACTCAGTGCTCCAGCCATGCAACGTCAGAGAATACTGCAGGAGAGTTTCAGGGCGGTAGAGTTGATTCAGGGACAGGTAGCACTTTTACCACCTGTGGTTGGAAGAGGATAGTAGGCAGGGTTGCCGCTAAATTTACTCCTGTCTCTTGTGCATAGTCTAACTCCACCTGGTCTTGACATTTGAACGTGTACAAGCACCAAAAATAAAAACAAAGGTTACAGGGCAAAGAAACGCATAATATCCAGCCTCACCTGAACCGCTTTGACGAAAACATCAAAGTAAATCACACAAATCTACAGATTCACTCTGAAGCTGTCACTCCAGATGTGAGAGCCTGAAGACGCCCAAACTCGGGGTACAGGTTCAGGTCTTGTTTCTAATTTGTAGACATCATATCCCCGCTCTCTCTTTCTCCGCTTTGGAGCACGAGTACAGTTTCTTGAGAGAGAACTAGAGAGTACAAGAGCCACCCTGACAAAGAAGAAGCAGCAGCTGCGGTGGTCACTGAGTGGGTTTGAATGCCAAGTAAACACTTTAGTCTTCACTGCCACAAATAGCTTACCAATCACAAGAGTGACAGAGAAACCGACCTTTATATACAGTCAGGAGTTCATCGATCGTGGAAAAAATGTATTTTCTGAGTTAGAGATGGTCTCGGAAATGACATACATGTTCATAGTAGATCAATTCTTGACTAAAATTGAATATAACTTCAAATCTGCTCCTTCTCAGCAAACCAAAGCTGCTATTTCTAGTTTCTAAATGAGGTTTGGACAAAAATTGGATGCACTTGTTGAGTCTGAATACAGGCAGTGGTGAAACACGACAGTACTTCTCTACTGGGTAGTTCGTATGTTCATAATATTTAAGTGCACAGTTCATAGGCCAGCGTCCATGATGGTCCGCGGAGTGAACAGAGACACTCATCATATACCACAGCAGCTTTGTCCTGAAGCTGGGGGAATATTCTGTTCCCTTTTTGCTAATGTGAAAGTAACATAAAAGTAGAGAACTGTTGAGAGGACACAGCAGCAGTGTTTTGATTCCCTGAATAATGCCCTCAGACACTTTCACATTGATTTACTGTTCAAGGAAAGAGCTGATTCTTCTCTCATAGGAAGCTCAAGCATGAAAAGCTTTATTTCAGGTATTGTGGAGTACTTACGAACCATCAATGTGCCCCAAAATTCCTTTTATGTAGTTCACCTTACAAAGTACATTTTATGATCATGAGGGTCGGCGAGTGGGAGTGTGACGCTACATCTTCTTTTTGGGGCGGTAAACAATAAAAGAAGACCTTTGCACGTTGTTCAGCATAATAAACCTCTTTTATTGTACAAGTTTGCCGTGGAATTCAACCCAAAATTTAATGAAAGCAACTATTTTCAAAAAGGTAGAGAGAGATATCAGCCTCTTTTGATGACTCAAACTAGTTTTATCTGATCCCAACCTGGAGCAACCTGACAAAATCTTCTCTGTCCCTGAACCCAATCATTCTTCCCATTCCCTGAAATAAACATTCAGATAACTAAATGGATGTCACGAATGTGAAAAACTTTTGTTCAGGTTCAGCACCAATTATTTTGTGTTTTGTTGGATAGTAATTAAAACAAATTAGCCAAAATTCAAAGCTTAAAAAATAAGCCAAAATTCAAAGCTGGCCTTGCTAATGGTATTCGGGGTCCAAGATACACAATAACGTCTAAAGTGGTGTGCAATTTGCTCTTAAATCAATTCTGAAAGTAATTTCCTGATCACTTAGGCAGAATTTGTTTTATTCATGATTGCTTTGAGCCAAAAAACACATTTGGCAGAGAAAAAGCACAACCACAATTTCCTACATGCTGAAAAAGATGTTAATAGTTCAGGAAAGGGAGTTGAATGTGACACGGGGTTGAATATCAGCACTGCCAGTGTTATTATAACGCTTGGGGTGATGTATTATTCAAAGAGATCAAACTTCTTCGGGGATAGGCAGTACAGTTAAAGAGTTTAGGAGCTGAACCATGAAACTTAAACTCAGGCTGATAGCCAGAAGCTCTGATGGTGGGAATCAACAACAACAAAAAAAGATGGTTCTGGTGCGGGATGCCAAATGCAGGCAAAGGCTTTGCGCAGGTCATCGAGGTCAGTGTCTCACAAACAGGTGTTGTGTTGAATAGCAGGTCTCCTCATCCCTTACGTACACAGACACCCTCTATCCTGTTTTATTATGAAAAAATTGACTTCTACGGAAGCTTTACCAGCTTTCCTGCTCGCAGCATTATGAAAATGAAATAGAGTTTAAGCAGAGCTGTCCGTGGTCCTGAATCTGCTCTCCCCAGGGCTACTGTGTGGGCACCTGGTGATGTTGATTTTCTACACTACATCATAAAAAAAATAAAAATAAATAATAATAAAAAATAATAAGAAGAATTAATTAAAAAACTTGTTCTCATTTTCTATCAGGCAGGTTTGTTTATATGCAAAAAATGTGCAGCAGATCATGACTCTAATTACACACCGCTACATTTTTTTATGTGAAAACCAACTTGGCAATAAATTCAAGTTATATTAATTTTGTTTTGTACTTTGTGTAGGTTATCTCCTTTTGTTTGCAAAACACCAGGTGGTAAAATATTTCTATTAAAACATTAATGTCACCAGTTACTGATTAGATTAACGTAGAATTGATGGTTTGCAGCACATGAGGTAAAAAGAGGAGCGCTGGGATATAACTTTTTTTTTCGTAAACTTTTTAGTGTTGTTGTGAACGTACTTGTCCTCATGCACCCCAGATCTTCTTATTTATGGCTCATGTCTTTTAAAGCTTCTTCAAGGATAGAGCACGTACATACAAAATAACATACTTCAAGCAACAATGCTGTCTTGGTCCTTTGTGACAACTCAATTAATCGATTTTTTTTTTTCAATTGCCAGTGACATCCTGTAGGTTGGAGACTGCTGGTCTGATTTGCAGCTGTCGAGGACCTTTCTTTTTTTTTCACATATTTCCCATAACTTCAGTGAGGTTTGATGATAAAGCACTCTAACTTGGTGCTTTCGATTTTGTTTGATGAAAAATGTAGAGTTTATCACCATCCTCAGAGCAGGAGGCGGTACAAAGTTCCACATGGCTCTGCTGATGGATGGTTGTGATCGCCCACGGGTACATGAAATGTCTGTGAGGCGCCAGAAATAAGCACAGAGTGAATTAAGCCTGTTGTTGATGACAGATATTTTGTAGCCTATTTTTGACGGCATCCTAAATGTCATGGTAAATGTCATCAAGTGCAGCAGAATATGTTGCACAAGGCCTCATGTATCTGCAAATGATTTCAACTCAGCTTCATCAAATATTTTCTTTGGATATTATTGATCACAGAGACCTTGTATGAAAATGCTTTAGCCTGCCTACATGGATAATGACCACCTGCTTCTATATTAATGTAGGCTAAGTCTTTTATGAGTACAGATGAGAGGGGGATCACCACTCTGTGAGAGACTGGGTGAGGAAAAAGTGCAGCAGCTTCAAGATATTGTCCTTCAGAGGAGAATTATCGCGATTTAGAGGATTTCATTAACTTCATTATTTAATATTATTAAAAGATTCAAAAGATTTGGAGAAATATTTATGATTTATGATTTAACATTTATGATCATTACTCCATCATTTCCTTGAAGTAATAATCACCATATTAATCATTTTGAACTGCAGACGTGGTAGTTCTTCTGCCTTAGCAGATTTCCATGAAGAAATGATCTTGAATGTTCTTCCTTGAGCTGCGTCACCCCGCAGCAGTCCGTAATGGACTGGTCCAAGGTCTCGCTACAAACAAGCGGCTGCTGGAAGAGAGTAGGTGAGTTGTGTTTTGTCTCTTTGCTAAAGAAATTAGTCAAAGTTAAAAAGATGTTTGGTGGCTAGTACTATGGCTAGGACCCTGTATGTACTGTTGTTGAAGTTAGGAGCTGTTCTAAACATTATTTGTGGCTATAGAGTGGCGTTTTGGTTGGGGGTTTGTTTATGGCTCCTTAGACCGCTGTGTATTACTATCCTGCGGTCGTTACTAAAGTTGGCATAACTAGAGAAGCAAGCAGTAGGCAACATTCATCTCTGGAGGGGGTGTCTAACTTGGTGTTACGATGTGTTTGATCCTAAACTAATTTTACGCCGGAATATCCGTTTAATAAGAGATATGACTCTGGGGTAGAAATCACAGCATGGGCAAAGAATCACATCTAGAAACTAGTGTCTGTGAACACAGTTTGTCACTGCATCTACAAATACAAGGTACAACTATCCAAAGAGAAATCAACACATAAACATGGACCTAGTCAGAGTGGAAATCTGCTCTGTGGTCTGACATAAGTTATGAAATCATACGGGCAAGGGTGAGTACAAAGACACTGCAGCATGTGGACATCCCTGGTATTGAACCCCTGACATTGGGAGACGACCGACTGATCCACAGCTGCCCCCAAAATAACTCAAACTATTTCAATCTTTGATGTCTTAATTTTGCACAATTTTCAATCAGGTACATGCTTTAAATGATTTGCAAACCATCTGATTCTGAGTGTTGGTGATCATAACTCCAGTTTTTATGTATAACAGGACCCAGATTGCTCCTGTATGCACATTAGCTCAGATGCAAACCAGCAGTAAAGCAGAGTAGCACTTGTTTATCAGGGAACATGCACACATTCCAGTGAGTGTTCGGCTCAGCACATTATCAGAAGATGCATTTTATCATTTGTGGTTGTGAATTCCTATGGTCATGTTTTTTTTTTGTCTTTACCGCAACATGCACTTTAATACTTGACGGTATCTTACTGGAAAAAGTGTGATATAGGCAAGAAACCAATGTTTTTCCAGCCTTTGTTTACTACGCCTACACAGTTTAAGTTAAAGGCTCATACCACAGATAACTCTCACCACAAATCCCTGTGTGCATAGATAGTATTACTTGAATGGATCAGTATGTTATCTACAGATACAATAAGGTCTATAAAAGATATAGTAAATCCTTGAGATGTTCTTCAGCTGGAAAATAGAGCAATAGGGACACAGTGAAGACACCCATCAGGGTTTCACTGGGATTCATATTCTGTCTGTTGTACAGCTGTAAGCCCTGAATGTATAAATAACTCATGCATATCTATGAAAACAAAATGTCTGTTTTATAAGAACCACATTAAATGTCAGGGTTTCTGGATTCCAGCTCAGTGGAGTAATTGTCTCTGTAGGGAGATTCTTGATTCGTCTCCACGCAGCTCCATCCAGGATCACTGTTTAACACCCCTGACTTTGAGGCATCACACTTGTGCTTATCAGGATGGCAACCTTGATCACTTGAACATACAGTTCTCATAAATAAATACCAAAAACTGACAGGCTACAACACTGTAATTGGACTGACCTTTTCTGCAGGGGTTCACTGCGCTGTACTGCCGTCCTAAAGTTCAACTGTGGAACAAAACATTTCCCATAACAAGTATGAAGAAGGGTTTGCCAATATATACCCAATATGTTTACATACAATCTGTGTCAAATTAGGGAATCTGATTTAGGGATACTCGGTCAATGTAAAGTTTTGTCATGATATGTTCTGGTATTTAGTTTTCCCCTGGTTTTGGTTATCTGAGTGTATTTTCTTTGTGATTTTCCTCGTGTTTCTGTTCTCCATTGTTCCTTTTTCCGCCGTCCTGTCTTGTAAGTTTTAAGTTTGTGTCTGACCCGGTTTCCCTCGTGTCGTCAGTGTTTAATTCTTTATATCAGTTTTCAGTGTTTCCTGTTTTATTTTGTAGTAGTTTCTAGTCTTGTTTTACTTTCTCAGTTTTCCCTCCTCTGTGATTGTCTGCACCTGTGTCTCAGTGTCTCACCTGCCTCTCGTTGCTCGTTTCCCTTCGTACATATAGTCCTTGTCTTCCTCTGTTTCTTGGTTCATTGTTTGTTGATGCCTCTGTGGGACTCCAGTGTCTCCAGTGTTTCCTAGTGATTTTTTCCTGCCTGTGTCTTTTGTTGGATTTTTGATTTTTTGGTTCTTTGGATTTTTCCATTTGTGATTCTTGGGATTTCGAAAGTGAGTTTTTGTTGCCCCTTCTTTACACCCTTTAAAATAAATCCGCTGTTTTTGATCTGCAATTTGGGTCCTTCCCCTTTTTGTTTCACTCCTGAACGTGACAAGTTTCTCCTGTAACAGAAAACTTAAGGAGTGACAGTTTATTTTTTTAAATCCACAAACGGGACTAACAGCATTTGACTTCATAGTAGATATTTTAAATGTAAATGTTAAGTAATGCATGTGCAGTCTGTTTCAAACATTTTTGAAACAGATTATTTTTGTCAATGATGAGACTTTCAACAGGATGAGATGAAACCAGCTACGACATATGGATTACCACTCTCTCCACAGGGAGCGCCAAAATCAACACAGACAGAAAGCTCCTCACATGAGCTTTAACGTGATCAGTTGAAAAAAATTAACTTCCTGAAGTCCTATATGAGAAACTACCAAGCCAGAAACACTGATGAAAACTGAAAAGGCACTTTGGAGTTCAAAAAAGATAGAAAAGCAACATAAGGAGAGCAGTGGACCAAGAGGAAGAAAACGCAGTGAACCAGCACAGAAAGGGGGAAAAACACAGAGACTCTGGTGGACAGGCAACAGGTGGAACACAAGACAAAGGAGAAACTAATCACAGTATCAGGAATGGAGGGGAAACACTTAAACTCGAGTACTCAATTAATCTACAAAATTTAAAAGTGCAGACTAAACCAAAGAGTGAAAAACACAATTACAACAAAAACATAATGCACCAAAAAGTAGACACTCGTAATACGGAACAAAGAAAAAAGGAAACAAACAACCATCATGTTAACAACCCTGAATCTAAAACATAATGAATGCTGGGATTTTTCAAGTACCATTGTGAATGAAGCTTTCTGATTTTTCTGCTTTGCAATTTTCACTTCATGAGTGTTCTTCAGCGTCTTGTTTTTCTTAGTTTATTTATTTGTTGTGTTTTTTGAAGAGCTGTCCTTTGCAGAAGCAGATATAAAATGTCCAATTTGCCTGTCTGATTCTAATGAAAAAGAAAACATATGAAAAAAGTAAAATAGTTTCCTTCTCTTCACGCAGTAATTACCTCATATCAGCACGGTGGGAATGGCAGTATGCTGCTGTCTGAACACTCACTCTTGACAGCAGAAAATATGTGGATGAACAATATTTGATCTTTCTTTATGGCTTTTCCACCAGAGATGTTTTTGTTTCCTTTTTTCTTTCGGTTGAAATGAGACTCTGCCTTGTAGACAACTATTCAACTTATAAGTTACTGACAAAAACACTGCTGTGGGCAACAACTGAGATTTTCACAACATCACTAACAGACATTGTTGCTGTGTTCATGAGCTCAGGTGTGCACAGTGCATCATTATTTGAAGCCAATCACATGTTAGCCAGGAGGGTTAACCTTTAAGCTTCATGAGCAGCAGACATTGTTCCAGAGAGATGCATGTTACATTCACTCACTGTTGATGCTTTGTGGTTAATGGTGTGTGTGTATGTGTGTGTGTGCACGGCCTGGGAATGTATGTGTGTCTGCAGGGGCTTGTCTCAAACACTGATTGCACACAATCTCCACAACACTGCTTTCAATAAAAGGATGCTACACACCAGTTCACATGCAAAACTACTGTTACATCAGTGTTTTGACCTCACAGCCACATCTATAACTCAAATTGAACGTCTGAGAGGACAAAAGCAACACTTTCCTCTCCTCTTTTATCCCTAAGGAAACAGACACTCAATGAAGCTCAGTGTTTAGAAAGGCAGAGGGAAATAACAACACATGACTTCCAAATTATTAGCTGGAAACGTAGAAACAATGTGCCCAACTCTCAAAGTCTGTGAAGTACTGGTGATGGATATGGAGCCCGTACAGCGAGGTTATAGATAAATGGTTTGTTGCCAAGGATTACTCACCCAACAGCTGTTCTTGTTGTTTCAGTTGATTTCAAGACATGTTAACTCTCTGTGGGTGTAAATTACCTCCTTTTTCAAGTGGTATACAGAACACAACGTGGTAGGTTTCTTCAGCTTCAAATATGTAAGTCTAACTGGGGACTTTTGGACTGTTGTACAATCACTCACATAACTCAACTTAATACCAAACTGCATCACACCGGTGTGCAACATGACTCACTTTAACTTAAATCTTGTAAACTGAGTCACATCAGATCAGATGTCCCACTTAGGTTCGCTTTCTCTCACTCCGCGTCTGTGCATAATGGCACCCTATTTCCTCCGTCTGTGACAGTGCCCAGCAGGCGTAAAATCAATGAACAAACGGAACCATCAATCATTGTATGGGATTGATGGTACTCGTGGTAATACCAAAGGGTTAGTCTGCGTCTACATTCAACTCGTAATTGCGTGAGAGCTTGCGTTCAAATGACCATTTGCGTAACAGAAGAAAAGGCTGAGGCTGGAACAATGCACTTTACTATAAGCTATACAATAAACGGGTGTTGAAAATGTACATACCTGGTAAAGAGGGGAGCTGTTTTACGCTTTCAGAGAGAAACTTGAACAAGAATCGCAAGGTCCTACATGGAGAGGGTTGATGATGAGTATTAGTTTCTCCAGAAAGACGAAAACCTGACTTTTTCCAGGAGCGCACGGGATTTTATGTGTGCTTAAACTTAAGTTGTACCTCAATTGTTGTAAGAATACATTTTTACATCTTAGGAAAGATCGAGCTAGTTTTGATTTTAATGCGTCTGTTCCGGGTGGATTAGGTTTGTGTGCGTAACGATAATTCAAGACAAAGCCAATTTAAATCCCCAGATTTGAGTGTTTACCGAGCGTGTTCAGAACCTGTTCATCACTAATGAATATAAATCATGAAAAAAAGAGACCTACCTTTGAGGATTCCTGTGCGCTTAAACTTCAGGGGGGCTGGCGTTGACTGTATACAGGTGAATAAACAGGTGCTCCACGATGAACAAAGAAGTCACAACGCTCTGCCGGTGCAAAGAGGGTGGACTGCGATCAGACTGATGTTAAAAAAAAAAAGTCATTATTTGTTGTTAAAGTTCATCCTATATCTGCCGAGACAAAGACAAGCTCCGCTCTGAGACACAGAGATGCTCTTAGACACAGAGGTGATCCGCTCTGACTGGCTGAGCGCGTAGGGGAGACCGGGTGCATATGTTACAGTCTGTGTTAAACCTTTACTGTCTCCTTATACTGAGGAGGGATGAGCCAACTCTGCCAGCCAGGATTGGTTGATTCAAAAGCCCAGTTAAAAGACCTTCTTGAATCAAATAACATGTCTCTATACATACTTCGTAATTAATTATCTTAAGTCTTAAATTAAAACTCATTTGTATAGAGTATATGTCTTCTGTTTGTAAAGGTGTTCAACCTGTTGTTAAGCTTCTGAATGATTTCTTGTTTTCTGCTTTGGTGAATCTTATAAGCAGAAAGTCACTTGCAACATTTCGCTTTATGCAATAATAATAATAATAATAATAATAATAATAATAATAATAATAATAATAATAATAATAGTACAAGTTCTACAAGTACAATGCCTCTATGCTACCCTTTCATTCAGTAAAGTTCAAGTTTCAAGCTAATAATTTTTTTCTTAAAGAATAAATAAAAGTGCATTTCAAGAAATTAAAATGTGAAAAAGTGCTCTTTAGATGGCCCTCTAGTGGATAAAGTATTAAAAAGTTTCTTCATGATGCCACTGAATTTGTAATATTTAAAAAAAAAAAAGATCTTCTTATTCTTATTCCTATAAGATAATGAAAAAGTGCTCCATAAGTAACACAATTATAGATATTTGGGTGTCATTGGGGCTGTCACAATGTCAGATTTTCATCTCACGATTGTCATGGCCAAAGAATATCATGATAAAGATATTAAAGAAATTCAAGGGATATTCATGTTGTGATTTAAAACAGCACAATAAGTCAAATTAAAAACTTCAAGATATTAGTATATCTTAATAAATATTAAAAGTCCATAAAATTTGCAAATAAACGGATATAAGTTACATGTCATAATCTATTTCTAATTATGTTCAAAGTTACGATTTATCCACATCATTGGAGGTGTAACTGAAGTTTCTTTAGGGAAGACATTGCCTCATTAAACCTTTGTGTGTGTGTGTGTTTGTGTGTGTGTGTTATTGTTCCCCCTACATTTTAAGACTATGCTTTTATTTTGAAGAGTTAGTCACTTCCTGTCGTTGAGGGAACTGAATGGAAACAGAAGAAAAAGGAGTTTAGTTGATTAATTACTCAAAGAGACACAAGCGCCCCCCAAAATGGTGTAATATCCCTTTATTTTAAGAGCTGAGTCATCTTTGAGAGATCCGCTTTAAGACAGTTCACAGACAGTCTGCTGCTCCTCTGTATCTCCCCCTTGATATGACGTTTGGAAGCCAGTATCTACGACCACCTTTATGAACTCACGAAATCATGATTTCAATATTTAATAAATTAATAATGATGATTACCATCAATAATGGTAAATTGCGATCATCCGAGTTTGTGCAAGTTTGTGAGCTAAGTCAACTCTTGGTTTAAAGGGTTTGAATAATTATCTAAACCATCTTATTAAACAGTGTTATTTAGCTGATTAAAACACCCTCACGGGGTGGTAGGGATGATGAAAAGACTGGTGTTGAAGCCAACATGAGCTCAGCGAGTGTGCAGAGTTGTGATAACAGTCCGATGGGCAGATTCCCACTTTTCTGTATGTGTGAGTGTGGGTGTGGACTGGTGTGAAGTGCTTTGTGAAAGTTTCCATTTGTACCACACGGAAATTATGAGCTTAATTAATCTATGATTGACTTTTGCTGAACATTTCTGAGATAAGAAAGGCACGTACAGCAAGATAATCAACGGATCAACGGATTATTGTATGGCTCTAAAGTTATCCTGCTCAGGAGGTAGAGCGGTCGTCCAATAACCGGAAGGTTGGCGGTTCGATTCCCCCCTAATCCAAGTCTGTCCGTTGTGTCCTTGGGCAAGACACTTAACCCACCTTGCTCCCAGTGTGTGTCCTCCACTGGTGTATGATTGTGAGTGTTGTGTGGTGGTGGTCGGAGAGGCCGTAGGCGCAGAATGGCAGCCACGTTTCCACCACCACCAAAGTGTGACTGTGTGAGCGAATGAATGATGTATCCAATGTAAAGCGCTTTGAGGGTCTCTGATAAAGCGCTATATGAAATCTGATGCATTATTATTATTATTATTATTATTATTATCCTGAGGTGTGAGGCGTATTAGGTGTTATTCATTCCCTTCCATCTGCGCAAAAGAGCAATTCGGAAGAAACTGTCAAATATGTCATCATTTGACGTCATGTGCAGGATCTCTGAGGTTTTCAAAATTGGTTCAGATCTGAAAACGCTTCCAGTGCATGCCAGACTTTAGAATGATTGTAGCATCCCTGTTTTTTTTCCACTTTGGTAGCCTAATGCTGTTATTGTTCGAATAATCCCACAGCGCCCACTCAAAGCAACAATTTTCCAAGCACGTACCACAGTAAAGCACGCGGGAGCATTTTCACCCGGTTTGCCATTGAAACTACAATGCATCCAAATGATACTCTCTTAATGCTTATGTGTATGTGAAGGAACAGAGGTACCCCTGTGAGACATTGTCTGCACTCATGTAAACGAACGTAATGAAAATCATATTACAGGAAGGGTTGGCAGAGACGGTAGAAACCAAGAGGAACTGAAAGATGGCCTCACCTTGTACACAAGAGAACACAAAATAATAATGGCGAACACAAATATGACTTAGTCCCGTGTGACGAAAACAAGCTGTCATAAAGTGAACTGGTTTATGGACATTTGCCAGCAAGCTGCATTTCTCTTAACAGAGAGGTTGAAAAAATGAGGGAACAGAGGAAAAATAGTCACATCAGGCTTAAAATTTTTGGTCTAAAATAGCAGCAATCGAACAAAAGATGGAGGCAGATGAAACAGCCAAACAAAGTTAAAGGCTAAATGACGCACAACAATGTCTGATGTCTGATCATTAAATGCTAGAATTAGATTCGACTATCTGAGTATCCAGGAAACATTCTGGCGAGAGTACCTCTTTCCTCATGGTTCTGGTGCAATGAACATGTGGCAACAAAGCATGTGTACATGGTTTACATTTATTGGTGCTTTACTCACCCTCTCTATACGCCCATAATTCGGGATGAGTTATTCAGCCCAGAGGCTCATTTTCTTTCACCAAGCACAGGACTGTAGGTGGTAAATGGACTGTATTCATGTATCACATATTCCAGCTACTCAATCATTCAAAGAGCTTACACATTACATATTACATTCACCCTTTCATGCTACATTCACACACAAATGGAAGCGTCTGTGATGTAAAGTGTCCATCAATGTTAAATAACCCCAGTCACAAATCGCTCGTCCAGTCACAGGTAGATTTGGGGTTAAAGGTCCATCCCAATGTTTTTTTTTTAATACTTGAAGCATTATCAGTGGTCTTTGAATTGCGTTTATGAAGCTTTTATCCAAATTCACATTACCTGTGTCATTTTCAAGGGCTTCTTTTCTGCCTCTCTTGTGCTCTGCACCCTACTCTTCATCCCAGCTAGTAGCCTAACATTACCGGTGCAGCAGAGGTAGCAGGTAACATAGGAATTATTCAGCTCTCAGACACGAATGTCTTTGGGGACATGATGAAAGCTAAAATCGTAATTAGCTTACTTACGAGCATTGCAATCCACTAACCCACACGCCTGCTCTGCAATCGTCCTCTCTACTTCTCTAAGTCTGCTCTGCAGAGTGAAGTGCTGGGGGCGGAGCTTGGATTTGTGACGTAGGAAATCCCACGGTGTCTGAAACTTCTGTTTTGATCTGCCAGAGGTTTACAGTGCTTTGAACACAGAAATACTCAGACATGCAATTCTGCTCTTAGTTTTCTCATGATTTGTCCTGTAGCATGAGAAAAACGCCATATGAACATGTAGACAAGAAAAACATGATTTTCATCTGAGTTGTTCTTTCGATGTCTTGGCCAAGGACAATTCAGCATCTAGATGGCAAGACCTGGGATCAAACCCACAACTTTCCAGCTGAGCAACAAATGCACCTGTAGCATAATGGACAGTAGAAATACGCAGGGAAGTGAGCAAATGTCAAAATCATGTGCATCAGTCTGAGCGATCTCAAACTGAAGGTTTAGAGACCGGGGACTCATCATCCAAATGAATCTCAAACACCACAGAAGGACAAATGACAAAATCATTTGTTCTGGGAAAAGACTCCCTCACAGCAAATGACGCTAAAAATTTATTAGATTTTTCTGACCCTGGTTTACAACTTGAAAGCATCTGGGCATGTGTGATTGTTATTTCACACCTGACACCCATCACCGAGGTTGTGTAAGCAGCTAATGAACTTGTGAACACGCTTGCTCTCACATTGGCTTTAAAATGAGGTGTGTTCGGCTGCAAAGGTGGTGAGTTGCTGTCGAGATCAGTCTCATCATGATGTTTCAAGCCAGCTTAAGCGAGATAGTAAAAGATCATAAAAGCTCAATTTATCAGTTCTTTGATTCTTGCACACAAACAGAAACACACATGCATGTGTTTGCTGTTACAGTGCGATTGATTTTTTTTTCTTTCTTTTATTGTGACCGGTGTAAAAATGGTCCCCTGGCTTCAATGTATCTTAAGACCAGTGTTGTTTTTGGCAGGCATTTTAGATTTAGTTTTAGTCTTAGTCATTTTGACGAAATGCTTCTTCGTTTTAGTCCCATTTTAGTCATTTCTATCCTTGATAGTTTTCGTCTAGTTTTAGTCCGACGAAAACTCAAAAGGTTTTAGTCTAGTTTTAGTCGACGAAAAGGTGCCTTTTGAGGTTCGTGGTGTTCTTTCCCGACAGTTTGAAGCCGCAGCATGAGGAAGCTGTGGCTCCACAACTGACGTCTGTCTCGTCTCCCCGTCCCCGTACAAGACATTGTGTTTTATTGTCACTTGGACTGTATCTGAAGTGGGACCATAAATCATCCTTCTTTTTTCGGCCACCGGGCACCGCTGCTGT